TTTCCTCGGGAGTCTAACAAGGCAATTTTATTATGTTTTCTTCAATAGACAACTTTGAAGAATCTTGTAGGCCAAGCCTTGGGAGAGCTACGCTATCCCTAGTGTGATATAATAGACGCCGTGCTAAATTACCTCAGCATCAAGTTTCCTGCAGGCAATGTAGTTGCAGCGCAGCACATGCTTGCGTCTGCAAAATACATTTTTAAAGCAAACGTCTCAAAAGAGCACAGCGTTTCATGAGCCTTCGTCATGGCCTTCTTTTAAGTTTTTTACTTCAAAAAATTCTTATACTCAAGGCGAGTGCGCGTGACTACACTCGCTGCATGTTCCTCGGTTGTTGGGAATTTCGCGAATCATCTATTGCTGTGTGTGATTTCACATTTGTGGTATAGTAGCGCCCTGTAGAGCGAGGAATGCTTGTTGGTGCTGTGCAACTGTGCCATATTTGGCGTCGTAAGTTGACGCCATTTTTGTTACACATGATACCTCCTTGTCTCAATCTTCAGAAGACGACTTGGATTAAAAAGAATCAATTAAAAACGACACATTCTATGGCGCCTCCGACAAGGCGCCCTTCTGTGCGTGGGAGTAAGTGCGCCACCCAACTATGAACTTGCTTTTAGTGGAGAGTGACTAAAGCGGGAGCCCTCGTTTTGATTATTTTGTTTGTTATCAGCAGCGCCGGCGTTCAATGGCTGGGATAAGGAACGCCTTGTTTCTGGTAGACACCTTGTTTGGAAGGCGGGTTGTGCCTAGCTTCCTCTATGTGTTTAAGAAATCACTAAACTTCTGTAAGAATTTTTATCTGGTTTATTGTGGTTTCATTTGTACTGCTGAATTAATTTCCACAGTTCAGACGGATATACAGAAGAGCGGGATTTGTAAGAAATTGTTTGGGGGATGTAAAGAAACGTGATGGAACTGTCGTTTTTTTTACCGTTTCATTAACGTTTTAGCTGAGAAGTGTTCTAGAGAGTTTTTCTTGGTTATAGCTTCTTGACAGCAAGGTTTAATCGACCAAACACCTTTTCTGACGTATGTGATGGACATGTGTACAAGGACTTATTCAAAACGTTCTTAGTTCTTGGCAACCCCAGTAAACATTTCTTGCACATTTAACACAGATGGGTGCCCAGCCTATAAATGTAATAATTTTTCCATCTGGCCATTTTAACTTATTATTGGCCTCGAGATCGATCTAGAGGTGGCGCTACTGTCGCGCTATCATCATCATCAAAGCGGGGATAGAAGCACGGCCGCCCCGCAGGCTCTCCCCGTTCGCGCACGAGACGGCGTAGATTCCTGCGTTTATTTTGTCGCATATTGTCGGTTGAAAAACAATTCTTGCGGAAAATGGTGCGGTACCGTCCGGTGCTTCAGTAAAGATCGAATTGTGTTACCACTGTACGGCATAAATTTAAATAATCGCTCGTGTGGATGCGTTGTCTGCTCTAGGCAGACTTTGGGGAAACATGGTCTCCCGGTGATCTGCAATATTTATGTTAAATATATATATATATATATATATGTATATATTCTTTTTTTTAATAATGTATCGGTTTTCCAGCGTGGGAATTGAACGGAACTAAATTCCAACCCGGATAACATAATACTGATACTGTGGGCTGTGAAATCGCAGATTCGATGCATTTTTTGTTTAACTCTTAGCTTTTGCAGTAATATAAATATTCAGCATGAAGAGAAGTCAGTGCTGTATCGGAAATCGCCATGCTATTGAGTTCCTCTGCAGTCAATGTTTCCCTTTACTGTGCCATGGTGTGGGCAAGTTTTCGGAGTTGGAACAATTCTACTACGTTGCGATGAGGAGAGAGTGCCTCTTCTACAGGTTTTCCCGCTCATTTTAATCCAAGTGCCACACAATTTGATCCCGGGGTCAGTCAATTTATTCCACAATATATATGTGCACTTATTGTGTTCAATGGTCGCGTTTCGCTTACAGATTTGGTAACCTAGAACAATTGTTTACGCAATTAAAATTTTGGGGGCAATTGATAATTTGATCGCTAATGTGATTACTTTCAGTTACTGGTCCTACTATTGACGAGGCTTAATTGATATGTTGGTTACTCTTTTTAGAGTGCTGCTCTTAGGCATCCGTTTCTGGCGTGAGCGGCGTCGGCGGAACCACGTGGTGCATGATGAGTCGATTCCCCCGCTAAATTTAGCGGAAAAATTTCCCCGCTAAATCTAGCGGAAAATTTTCTTCGCTAAGTTTAGCGGAAAATTTTTCACGCTAAATGTAACAGGAAATTTTCCCGACTATATTTAGCGGGAAATTTTCACGGCTAAAAGTAGCGGAAAATTTTCCCCGCTAGATTTAGCGGAAAATTTGCCCCGCTAAGTCTAGCAGAAATTTTTCCACGCTAACTCTAGCGGAAAGTTTTCCTTGCTAGATTTAGCGGAAAATTTTCCGCTAAATATATGGGGAAATATTTTCCACTAGATTTAGTAGCGAAAAGGTTCCTCTAAATTTAGCATGGGAAATGTTCTGCTTGATCAAGAGGGGAAAATTTTCCGCTATACTTAGTGGGGCAAGTTTTCCGCTAAATCTAGCTGAGAAGATTTTCCGCTAGATTTTGCGGGACAAATTTTCCGCTAAATATAGCGGGAGAAATTGTCCGCTAGATTTAGCGGGGAAATTTGTCCGCAAAATTTAGTGGGGGAATTTACGCCTCCTCCCTCCTCACCTTGTCATCCTGCCTGCTACTCCGCCACGGAGGCCACATGGTCTCACGGGGGACACGTGGTCCCCGTGACGTCACGGAGGTCACATGACTTCAGGGGCATCACGTGACCTCAGGGGGTCACATGAACTCAGGGGGGTCACGTGACCTCACGGTTACGCCGACGCCGACGCCGCTCAAGCCGGAAACGGGCGCCAAAGAGCAGCGTTTTAAAAACAGTCTGCATAAAGATTCGAACGCGAGTCACCGCGAGATTCGTGCTTCGAATGCCGGCTGGCAATGAGTTCAGGGAGGAAACTTGGGCTCGGCGGCATTCGAAGCACGCATATTGCGGTGACTCGTGTTTGCAGACTGTCTTTTTCATGATATATGAGCAGTGTGACTCCGGCTCTACGGATTTCTTGCAGCCTTCTCTAAAATCGGACGGTGTGACTTTATACGAAAGTACCCAATTACGTTTTATTATTCTAGCATTGACCAAATAATTATTTTACAAGCTATATATAGAATGTCCCAAGCCACCAGGCTCGATCTAAAATGGACCGCAAAAATTTGCGCCTGCACGAAGCAATGTAAACTTTTCGTCCAAAATATATTTCAAAGGTCGTTTTTTTTTTTTTTTTTTTTTTGTTAGATTACAAAGCGTAGCTCCCTTGCTCTAAACCAATAGGGTCAAGAAACTTGCCCCGGTCAACGGAGAACGCCGACGCAGACGACGGAGTCGAGTTGCGGGGCGCGTTCGGCGCACGTATTAATCGATAGTGTCGGGAGCAGTGTCCGAAGTTGTAGGCAACGTTACTAGATAACCTCAGTTGTGGTACTCCCGCAGAAGAAGGTACCCCTCCGTCACTTCAGTCCGCCTCCCGTCGTTCGAAACGCCATCTAGATTTTCGTTTACAAATTGTGTGCTCCATAGAGTATACGGTGCAACGCCATCAAGACACTGCGCTTCGAAACGTACGTATCCCATAGAATACACAGCAGTTACCAAAGCAGCCGTCCGGAGCGTCGAACGACAGGAGGCGTATTGGGGTGAGAGAGGAGGGGTTGTACTGCTCGTGCACGCGGGCGTCTATGAGCAGCTCCCCAACTAAGCTAGTCTAATAACGTTGGCTGCAGCCGACGAGCAAAAAAGAGGAGACGCCACGCAGGCGAATTCTGTTGGCAGCAAAAACGCCGTCGTTGTGCAACGCGTTTTTTTCTTAACTTTAGGTTTGTTTTTATTGTCTGCATTAACTTTTGAATGAAAGCTACTTTAAAAAAAATATTGTGTTCATTTCAATAAACCACAGTGGTTGCGAGCAGTCTCGATAAGGAGGAAGCGCCATCTATTAATACGAGCGCCAAACGCGTCCCTGAAGTCGACTTCATCGTCTGCTTCGCAGCCCGCCGTTGACCCTGCCACGTTTCTTGGCCCTGTTTTTTACATAAAGGGAGCTACGCTTACCAATTTTACTAAGACAAATCTGATCCGTGTAATACACCTTTGACGAAAAGTTTAGATTGTTACATGCAGGCGTCGAGTTTTACGGTCTATTCTAGCTCGAGCCTTGTGACTTGGGACACCCTATATATAGTCACTGACAGCTTAAGAAATGCCAGGCGTGTGACTTACTACGCTCACTGTTCTCGCGTTGTGATTTCTTCGTATGCGTTGATATCAGAAAATTCCGAAATGTAATCGGTTTTGGAACCATAATAAGGCTAGTGGGTCCTACCACGCATTGTGTTACATAGGACTTCATGTCCATAGTTAGCCACGTCGTATCTCGTTTACTTGTTTCTGATCATAAATCCCCTTCGCCAGTGCAAGCCGGGGTGTGATAAAAACTTTGGGTGATTGTCTTGATCCGGAATACGCCCATCCGCCGCACAGTTACAGTTTTTTTTCTTCATCGCGTCAGTTAATTTTTGGGTTTATTCCCACGTGTACGGCGAAATGTGAATGTCGTGTATGTCGCTTTAATGCTGTTACTGGCGTTTGCGTCTGCCGCAACCACAGACACCCAAGCAAACGAGGGTGTCGGTAAAAACGAAGTTCATAATTACTTTACGAAGCTACTTCTGCTATTTTGTTTTGTATTCTGCTGTTTATGGCGAACACCTGTTTCATCGATTTGTGAAGTCGCTCCTGACGTAACCAACGGCGCTCTCTGAAGAATGCTTAGCTCTCAGCGGAGTCTTGTCAAACATGTCAGCTCTATCCGGTACAGCTGTATTTTAAAATGACAAAAAAAAAAAAAAAACTTCTTATATTACTTAAGCACTGTTCAGTCGATCTCGAAGCCATAGCGAATGTGGATAGCCTCCTCTGCAATGGGCCTGCAGTACGCTGTGTTGTTCGCGTGTGCCATCGCAACTATGATGTGGCCTGCGACGGAGAGCTTTTCACCTATTGCTCACTGGACAAAGAATATGACCATAAGAAACCCAGATAATCGCCCTATATTCAACGACGAAGAACTTGGGCCAATGCAAGATGCATGGCAGGTATGTGATTAAGAAATACAGGCTGTTTCTTTAAGGCTTTACAGATATGTTTTAAAAAAAGACATGAAAGCTACACTAATGCGGTCTGTACATGTGAGTTTTACGGTCGGTGGGATATAGTATAGGTAGGGTTCCGCGTTTTCGGTTTCTATTTTTCAAAATTCGGCGTACTTTTTTCGGTGTTTATTTGAAAATTCAATTTCCGTTTTTTTTTCGGCGTATATTCATACCCACAAAAGTTCATCGGCTTTTTTCGGTGAATATAAAATAAACACAAACGGACACCGGCGCAGATGATCATTGTAGCTCTGATTTTTGTGATCACTCAGGGAATAACGGCACAGATACATTGAAAAAGAAATGGACACTTTATCTGGCAAATATGTGGAACTGTAAAGGAAAAAAAATAGAAAAAAAAAACATAGAAGTACGAACACGTTAGAAATGAAGCCTATGCCCAAGAAAACATGGAACTTCCCCTTCTGTACATCATGATTAGGTGATTTTATTATAGTACACACGCACGTGTACATTCCGAGGTCGTTAATCCACACTCTTTTTTTCCTGGTAATATCACCCTGAGCTTCGAGAATGCCCTCTCCAAGCTAACACTGGACACTGGCAGGCTGTGAAGATAAAGCGCTGCCTGAATCAAACTCGGCCATTCAACTAATTGTGACTGCCAAAAGAGACACGTTGCGACGTTTTCAAGCACAACACAACATGCAGAGCTTGCATCAAGTCAGTCTTCCTTACGAGTTTGAAAACACGCTCGTACATGGCCAAGTCATGGGGCATTTCGGACTTCACGTTGCGATCGATGATGCGCACATTAAACCAAAACGTCGTGATGGCATCCGTGTATCCCATCATTTTGGACACGTTTGAATGGGCACTGTCGTTCCATTTTTTCGCCACGGCTCTGCAGTACGACTGGAATGTCAAAGTGACCTTTTCCGGTTGAAACTGAATTTTAGAAAATAGATTCGACATACGTTTGTCGGTTTTTATCGGTTTAAATCGTAAATGCCGAACCTAAAAACTGATCTTTTTCGGTTAAAACCGAATGTTCGAAAATAGATTCGGCGTACTTTTATCAGTTTTTATCGGTTAAAACCGAAAACTCCGAACCCTAATTATAGGTCGATAATTATCACAATAAATCAGTTATTTAACGAAAATATATTGATGACCTTTTTAATGATTGAAGATAAATATATGATTCCAATCAGAGACCCTCTGAATGTCATCGAACGACGAAAACCACTAAGTGAGTAAATCTTAGAAATACTTGGAGCGCGTAGGGAGCTCAGTGGGGCACTAAAGTTACAATCCTGGGGTCTTCTGGAGGCGACATGACGCCACCAGAAGGGAATCCAAAAGGACACCTGATAAGGCGCCAGCAGCGGCCTTGGTGTTGCTTTGGTCACCCCTGAGAGCGCTCCACCAACCGCGTTCTCAAATTCCGGCTTCATTTGGTATTAGAAAGTTTTAGCAGATTGTTTTTTCGCCCCGATAGGGATACCTCCTCTCCCCTCCGGCGGCCTTTGGCATGGATCGCATCGTTATCGGGTGTCGTTATCAGGGCGAAATAACGATCTGCTAAAATTCTATATTTTCTCGTTTAGCTGAACCTCTATGTCGCCTCCCCTTCCTCCTACCTCCATGGTTACAATAGACCGAGACCACAACTGGCGCTATCACACTGGCGGTTGAGATGCGTTTGCGAAGCGCTTACGAATGCGGCTCAGAGCGACCGCGTTCAGACACACCGATACGCGGTTGGCGGTTTCTCGACGATCACACGTGAAATTTTGAAACTTGCGTTCGGCTACCTGGTTTTTCAGCCCAAAGTCCAGAGAAAATATAAAAAGGGTGCAGGGGAGCCGGTGATTATCTACCATGTTGAATTTAACTTGGGTAGAGAAGAAACATCAGTACGTAGAAGAGACAGAAAATAGGACGACGCCCTTGAGCTGAGTTTGAGACGTCGTCCTGTCTATTTTCTGTCTCTTCTACGTTTTGACGTTTCTTCTCTACTCCAGAGAGCTGTTTTGGCACTCTAAATATTTTTCTCCGGGTTGTCGTTGTTCGCACGCATTACGAGTTTCGGGCAGCGAGAAAAGACACGTGTTGCCACAAAACCCGCCGGGCGATTTCTCCGACTTCGTATGCAAGCAAAGCCCAGCCGGGCGTAGGTGCGCCTTACGGATGCAGAAGAAAATGCTCCCGACCCTTTGTTCGAAGTTGCCCTTCCCGCATAAATAGCAAACTTTTTTTTTTTTTTTTTGGAGGGGGGTGGGGGTATAAGGGGCCAGTTTTTCTACCGCATTCTTCGCTCTTATTATTTCCGGAGTTGTGAGCGGCATTGGTGGAACGTGGTGCGGGGGAATGTGTTCGGTGCTTGCCGGTCGTGACTTCGTTGGTGGCGGACGCTCCTCTTGTCACTCATACGCCGATCGAGACTACTTGTCTGATATTAAGCTCGAATAAATTCCGTATGGATTTCTTACACATCGTCATACAAGTACATTTTATTTCTTGAGTGGGTCCCCTTAGTCCTTTTGGTTGTAGCAAACGTCACAGGTCGAGCTAGCGCAGGTACCTTGCGAGATCCGCGGTAGTGTGTTAGCAACGCAAATGGGCTCACGAAGTCTCTCGGCCTTCGTGGTGGTCATGCACTGTGTCGAAAGCTTTCAGTAGTTCACGCGACTGTCTTAGTGGTCACAAAAGCTGCCATTTCGATCGATCGGCAGTGGGTTCCGATCTTCTACGGGCAAGGACTAACAAGGCAGAGGGCGACGGGCTTTAACACCTCCAATAAAAAAAAAATTAAAAAAAGAAAAGCTCTTACTCAAACTTAATCACCGCAGCGAAAACCGTTAAGACTACGAGTCAATTTTTTTCTCGGCGGATTCAAGTGACGGACGTCAACATCACGTTTCTTAGTTTCTTTATCTACTTCAATGATAGGACTACAGCACCTTGGACGCCTCCCCAGCGACAGATGCCATCTTGTTTCGAAAGCCACCGACGTCACGTCAGCGTCGAGTTGAGATTTGTTGCCGCTTCGCACTTTGGGAAAGCGGTCGGGAAAAATCGGTCCCGAAGCGGTCTGCAAAAGCGCGCCCCAACCGCTCAATCCCAGCCGCTTTGCGGTTGAGAAGGCGTGGATCCGCTTTGCGGCTGCCGATCTGTTTCCAGTGCCATGATTCGCCATTACTTTAGTTCATGGGGGGCAGACGCCAGGGGTGCTATGTTGCGCTTTTTGCACTCCCAGGAGACTTGGAAGAAGGAAGTACGTCAATGACTAGAGCAAACGCAGATTGGATGTTGACAGAAGAAAACAAAATCAACATCCAATCTGCATTTGCTGCGTTGTTGACGTCACTTCCTTCTCCCTAGTCTCCTGGGAGCGCAAAAAGCGCAACATAGCCCCCCAGTTCACGAGACAGCTAGTGCCACCTCGTGCTCTGCTCGCACAGACTCTTAGCGCGGTTGTTGCGCGTGCAGAAAGACTACACTGTTAGCAAAAATCGACACCTCTGGACGCGTAAACGGTTTTGACAGGGCGGGTGCATATAGAATGGTGTATTTTTTATGCGCGGGGTCTTATGTGAAATAAACTCCTTTGAACGTGTACTTCCTACCGCGGTCGCACATCTTACGGCTGCTTCTTGCGACGTCCTCATAAAATGGCGGCCGTTTGACGTGAGGCGGGAGCTAGGAGTGAGGCCCAGCGTATTAAACGTCTTTTCGCCAGCGTGAAAGCCTAGGTTGCACACGGCCATCCTTAGTCTTCCATGCGCGCTAAACCGCCGCAGGCACCCGCCCCGAAGCACCGACACCATATACAGTACGGCGATTACGCGACACTGGAAGAGACTGCATCAAGCCACGTCTTTCTCTGTACACAAGTTCCAATCGGCTAATCGGTTCACCCGACCTTCGGGGCCTCATTCCGGTCGCATTTTCACCAAGAGCGGATAGTATTCAAATAAAAAAATATGTTATCGCCCATGGGCTTAAAAGTTTGAACCACGACAAATCGCTCCGACACCGACCCGGCCGTCGTTCCGGACTGTAACTCTCACCTCTTTCACGCAAGAAGCAGCGTTAGACACGAGAACGCGCGGTTTCGGCGTATCCATTAGTACTTCGTGTGTACGGAAGCAACGCGGCTTTCCTCATAGGAATCGGTCTTTAAAAGAGGCAGCGAAAAAACTGAGTGGCTGTGTTAGCAGCGCCATTTTAGTGCGCGGTTACTTTCCTACTAGCCATAGTGGTTATAGATTTTTTTACACAGTAAGTGGACGTATAAAAAACGCTAAAATAAAATTGGACTACTGCTTGCGCCACCTAGTAAGCATACTAAAAACCACACAAAAAAAAAAACGGGAGATTTGCGGTTTCGGTAACAAAATGCTCGAGCGGATGGCCGCCACAGAGCACGGGCGCCCATTAGTGTAGACGTGTAGACTCGGCACCACTGATCTCTATTGTAGTAGGCTGGATCGCGGACCGCGGCCTTGGCAGCTTGGGCCGAGTGCCGCTACCGGCGGCCATTGATTGACACCAGCCAATGCTTGGGACTCTATGGGAAGAACGAGAAAAAGTGCCGTTTTTCCCGTTTCTAAGTTTTTGTCGGCAGTGAAACTTTTGGCTGCTTTTCGATAAGCCCGTCAAATAGCTTGCGTAAAAACATTAAAACTGACAGCCGTTGCAGTTCTTATCAATAAATATTTTGTGGGGGAGAGTGACTCCGCTGTAGTGCAGCTCAATGAGGTGAGAGTTTCAATAGTGACAGACCTAGAGTTAGCGCGGAGTCGGTGGCGGTTTTGTTGTGTTGGGTTTAGCGGTCGACAAGCTCGAAGGCTTTGCTACGCGGAATTCGATCACTCCCGGAAAGTCGCTGTTGAGATGGAACTTCTTGGTCATACATCAACTGCTGGGCTGCCCCGAGGACGGTCTCAATGACGGCAAGTTCCTTTGTTTACTCC